GAGGAGCCACCCGGGAACTGGGGCGAGGAGGCCTATTAGGAAGAACCAGTTGAGTCCGGGTAGACGCCTCGGTTCGTGAACATTTGGAGGTCCTACAACGCCCCAGATGAGTGAAGCATTGTAGAAAACATCATTGCAGGACATGTCCAGGGACTCCCTCTGGCAGCAAATTGTGTCACAATGTTGGGAATGGTTTGAGAAGCCACCAGGATGTGCCAAAGTAGACAGTTGAAGCAACTTAGTTCCTACTAACTGAAAATACATATGACAAAGGTAAAAGGACAGAAATTATAGCATTAAAAAAAAATCTGAAAACTTAGTGAATTACATTTACCTGTACAACGAACATGGATTTGGGAGGGATTTTCATATAGTGGCCTAATTTGAAATCTCCAATAAAACTGAGAGCTTGCGTCCACCTATATAGCCGTAAGTCTGAAAACTCATTGGCTATAGGCCTACCAGGATACATGTACCCAATGATTACCTCTGTAATCACATTTAGCCCTAGTTGCTGCAGATTAATACACAATTTCATTGAGAAATATTAGCTTCTGAGTTGTTGTGTCAAATAAGCGTAAAATTAGATAAATTATGGAAAATACCATGTTTGGGTTGCCTGAATCACCCCAACAGGATATGAAGAGAATGGTATGAAACAGGCTAGTGTGAGTCACCAGGGAAGCTGAAACTGTTTACCGAATCCTTCACAAGCGAAGACATGAAAGCGCAATTCCTCTGACAATGATGTCAGTTTTATGAGTTTGAGAATACTTACTATGAGGAACAGAAGCGTCTTCAACATCGTGACGACTTGCCATTTCCATTTCTCCTTCTCTCCAAAGGCAATGGCAATCCTTCAAGGATTGCTGGGTAGCCAAAAAACTCTTAAATGTCTAGTATGTATATATTTTCACAGACTTCTCTGTGGCTATCTGGTACTTATACTGGTTTCAAAAATAAAGAGAAGAATTTGTACAAAAACTTTGCTTTATCTAGATCAACATGTTCGATTATAGTTAGAGTTTTGATAACATTTTAGATAATACTACAAGAACATTGAAACAAAAATCACTTGCAAAAGTTAATAGACTATGACTGAAGTTATTCAAAGTCTCCATAAAAAAATAAGTGTGCAAATTGTAATAAAAACAAGTTGGAAATTTTATAAAACTTCCAAAAGAAAATAAGTGTGGAAATTGTAATAAGAGGAGGGGCAAGCGTGTTAATTGATCTATGAAACTAATGAGCCAACAATTCTCCATTGTTTTTTCATATATATTATTAATAAGTGTGAAAATTGTAATAAAACTTTCAAAAGAAAATAAATTTTGGTTACGTGAGATGGATAGATCACTAAGAGATCAAGCCGTGTTATAGGTTGTATTAAATTGTAATTGATAAATCATTTGTTTACACAAATTTTTTTTTAATAGTTATTTTAATGCTAAACTGTGATGATAAATCATTTATTTACGCAAAATTTAATTTTAATAGTTACAATAGTTACTTTAATGGTAAACTATGATTAATAATCATTTATTAACACAAATGAATCGAATAAAGGGAGGAGTATTGATATGATGTGTATCAAGAACAAAATAATAAGCTAGCTACATTAATTAACTCTTGAATTTGTGAAAAATTATGTTATACTTATGACAAATATAAAAAGAGAAATCACTACATATTTTTACAATAAAAGTTTGGATTTTCTTCATAAAAGTGGTACACAATTTAGAATAAATTGAAGAGATAAAATATAATTTTAATTGATACAACTTAGTCCTATTAAATTGAAGAATAAAGCTTGAGCTTTTATGTGGGAAGGCAATTTAACATGGTATCAAAGCCAAAGTCTCACGTTCGAATCCCCAAATACAAACTGGATAAAGAAAATAAAAAAAAAATAAAAAATCCAAGTTTGTTGTGAGGGGCCTATTGGGTCTAATATATGTGAAACCTCATACAAGTTTAAGCGTTTTAATGAGATTAAATTAACAGTATCAAACCTGTGCAAGTTGAGAGCTTGGATTTTTTCTACAACTTCAATAGTAATGACCATGAAGATAGTAACTTCATTGACATAGGCATCTTTTATATTAGTTTTACCATGATTTAACTAATTTAGTTAGTTTTTTGTAGTCCTCTTATAAATCCTCACTTGATAACTTCCTCCATATTTTATTATAGACTATTTCTTTGACAATTTTGTGATCAAAATATGTAGTTGTTTTATATGTACCTTAAATTTCTATTTTCTATTTATTAAAATCATTAGTAAGCAATTTCCAATTAAATTTTGATAAATTTCTCTAGTACTATATATATGTTACTTAGAACACACATATGAATATGGTATTTGAAATGATAAATTTACAAGAGATAGGATTAAATTAACGTGAATATTATTTACAAATAAAAGATCGTCATTGGAGTTTTTCAAACCATGTTTTTACTTTCATAAAATGAATATTGTGGATGAATTCAAATTAAGAGGAAAAGATTAATTTTGCAGAAGAAAGAAATGAAGAAATGTAGAAGTTTGAAGAAGTCTTATAACTGGAAAATGAGTGTAGTTAACTTTCAGTTATAAGAAGACGGAAATGTAGTTTCTCTTATTATTCCGTTAGTCACTTAAGTAGAACGAGAGCGTTTCATTCTACACAATTGAAATGAAACGTTCCACACTTTCAGATCAATAGGAAGGGTGTCCTTTCTTTAAGACATTAGTGTTCATCATTCTGGGTTTAGAATCAACGTCTAGAAACTTATTGATTTGTGTTTCTTTTAAGTAATTTGTGTTTGTTGATCTAAATTTGGCAAGGATTGCCAACCTGGCATATTTGTATTGTATATAAAAGAAATACTGTAATCTGAAATTGAATAAGAAAAACAGTAGTTTTGCCTCAAAGTTTTCTGAAGTTTTCTCAAATCATTTTATTAAGTACCATAAAATCTACACTATGACATTTACATGCCAAAGTAGTAGAAACAAATCCAAAGTCTCAATCTATACAGCAGACACCACAAAAAATTAGTGGACTGCTCGCTAAAACTTGGTCAAAGTCTTCTAACAAAAACAACTGTGTGAATGCAACTTGTCCAGCAAGTTGGATACATCACTAGAGGAAGTCAAAAAATGCTAATTAATTTCATGGAACTGATGTGCCAGCAATCCATCTTTTCAATGGTATTTTTATCATTTAGTGTAGATATTGTAATATAAATTTTAAAAGAAAAAAAATTTTGGTTATTTTGAGATGGTTGTATTTCAAAGATGTGTCATCAAATTAGTTTTTTGAAACTAAAATAAAGACAAAACGTGCATTGAAAATGCAATGAATTAAAAACTTTAATTATATTTCATAAAAGTGATATACTAATTTAGACTCTAAATTGAAGAAATAAAATATAACTTTAATCAATACAGCTGAGATCTCTACATGCTTTTATAAATTATGTACGTAGTGTTGGAATTTAAATATTATTGTTAAGCCGTCAAGATAATTTTTTCTTAAATATTAAAAGTAAGAGTAAACAATTTCTTTCCCACCCAATAAGTTTCAAAATATTACTTTCTCACCCAAAGTTAATATTCTGTTACTACTTAAAGCTGATTCTGGCTGATTTCGATGGCAAAAATTCTATTCGTCACCACAATTTAAACCTCCTATCTCCTCTTTACAAAACTTTTCTCATTCTGACACTTGATTTCTTGTCGGTTGCTGGTCACCGCAAAGTTAGAGTTTCCTGTTCATAGCTGATTTTATACGGCGAATATCCGATTGGTCACCATCATTTGATCCACCAGTCTCTACTCTATAAAAACCCTCTTACTTTAGCTCCTGGTAACTCATTGAACGTCGGCTGAGAAAGTGAAGCGTATTTTAGGTATTAACGGAATATAAATTTTGGGTGAGAAAGTGATATTTTAAAACTTTTTGGATAGGAAAAGTGTCATTAATTAAGGCAAACCTTAGGTGGGAAAAAGTCGTTTACTCTTAAAAGTAATCGGTGTTAGATATCTCAAATATTTAATTTCAAAGGATTTGATTTGTAAAGTGAAAGTGGACTTAGTTACTTCTAAGTACTAAAAGAAGTTCTCTCATGGCCTTGAATGTGTAGTAGTTGAGATAAGGATGCACAACAAGTCCAATTGCACTTCTTGATTTAACCCCTAATCATGATTCTCTTAATTCCACTTTAAGCGGAAGCAATCAAGATGGACGTTGAATGTTGAATAAGAGGTTAGAACCATTTGTCACTTTCTTGAACGGTTGGTTGCTCTTAGATTAAATGACACCGCCTTATCCAAAGGCCCTGGAAAGATTCTCAAAACTAGGTCCATTTTGGTAGACCGGTCCATTTTGGTTGGTGTCACAGGTCCATAATATGTTGATGTGACTCATTTTTATTATTTATTTTTTAATAGAGTAAACGATTTTTTTTCCCACACAAATAATGGTTTAATGACACTTTTTTATTCACAGACATTTAAAATACTATTTTATTATCTATATTTATATTTAATTTCTGATTCCAGTCTCGTTGCAATCTCATACCACCACTATTCTCTTCTCTAATCAGCACTCACCAAAACCCCTCAAACCCTACTCCGATTGACCCCTTCAATTGTTGACAATCGAGTAATTAGGGTTTATGCAACCGTCTCTCCCAAATCAAATTCTGATCAATCCCAACCACTAAAATTCTACCTTCTACCATTGAAGGAGTTATCAGTCTCCCCTCTTTAAAAGCCCCAATAGTCTAGACCGAGTTTGCTCTTTGTTTGCCGTCGAAATATAAATTTGAGTATCGAAGTGGTAGTTTAAAAATATGTGAGTAGGAAAGTGTCATTAATTTATTATTTGGGTGGAAAAAAGTTGTTAACCCTTTTTAATAATCTTATCATGTGCCTTTAAAACATACTCGGTGTAAGTCTATTTTACACACAATAGATGTTATTACTGTATAAAAGTTTTTGATATTTGATCAAGCAAATACTCATACAAACAAATCCATTTGTTCAAATCACTCGGATTTTGGTTACCGTCCAAGACAACCTAAACTTATTAACAAATTACATGCGAATAATATGCACAATCTGTATCATCCTTGGAGATTGAGAAGGAGAATTTCTCAAGCTTTCTCAGGCATTTAAGAAATGTCAAAGCACAGGGCATCCATGGACTTCAATTCCTGGAGCGATGGGGCACTTAGCCAGAGGGCAATGGTCAGTGCTATCCAAACCCCACCATTCTGGGCCAAAAATGTCATGTGATTGAAGGGTGAAATAGAGCAACACACCCATGAAGGCAAGCCCAGCATCCAAAGCAGCTGATAAAATGTAATTATATCTAGCCCACCACATTTTATATCTTCTGAAAATGTAGAAGTTGAAGAAGATTCCAACAGCTCCCCAGCTAAGGTAATGCACAGCTTTAGCGTATGGCATGTAGAGTGGCCCTGCCAGGATGATCGGCGTGTGGATGTTCTTGATCCATTTCTTTTCTGGGTATTTTCGTGAGAGGAGCCATCCGGGAACTGGGGCGAGGAGGCCTATTAGGAAGAACCAGTTGAGTCCCGGGTAGATGCCTCGGTTCGTGAACATTCTGAGAGGTCCTACAATGCCCCAGATGATTGAAGCATTGTAGAAAACATCATCTCCAGGACATGTCCAGGGACTCCCCTCTGGCAGCAAATTTGTGTCACAAATGTTGGGAATGGTTGTGAGAAGCCACCAGGATGTGCCAAAGTAGACGGTTGAAGCAACAATAGTTCCTACTAACTGAAAATACATATTGACAAAGGTGAAAGGACAGAAATTATAGCATTAAAAAAAAATCTGAAAACTTAGTGAATTACATTTACCTGTACAATGAACATGGATTTGGGAGGGATTTTCATATAGTGGCCTAATTTGAAATATCCAATAAAACTGAGAGCTTGCACCATGCTAATACGGCCATAAGTCCTGAAAACTACATTGGCTAGAGTCCTACCAGGATACATGTACCCTATGATTAACTCTTTAATCACATTTACCCGTGGTCCCTGCAGATTAATTACACAATTTTTATTGAGAAATATTAGCTTCTGAGTTGTCGTGTCTTATACGCGTAAAATTAGAGTAAATTTTGGAAAATACCATGTTTGTGGTTGCTTGAATCACCCCAACAGGTAATGTGAAGAAGAATGCTATGAAACAGGCTAGTATGAGTCCCCACCATGGAAGCTGAAATTGTTTACCGAATCCTTCACATTCAAAGATTGAAAGCGCGAACTTTATTAGCAAGATAAGCTGGAACCACCATTGAGGTACTTCATCATAGTTCTTCTTCATTAGTCTTGTGTGCACATCCCCAAAATGATCTTTAGATGCAGCAGTTGTTTTCTTCCACATTTGCCAAATTGTCCTAGGCAAGACAATTATCAATAGTTCATCAGAAACTTCAACATGTAGAATGAGAAATCAAGATCATACTATTAAAGATGATGCTTACTTTCCATCAAACAATGCAACATGGGAAAGACTAGACGTCAAGGCGGCAAAGCTTAGTCCATAAGTGAATGCAAACAGGACACTGAGATAGAGTTTGCTATACTCATCATAGCCAGCTTTATTGAACTCAAAAGTTTTCTCATTGATGATTCTGCTGATGTTGTAAGTTTGGCCATTGGAATCAAAAGTGTGTGAGGAAAATAAGGGAAATTTCTTGGCATCATAAACATTAGTCCAGTAAGAAATTGGAATAAGCACATAAAGGCACAAAAAGAACCCAACTAAGGTATTAGCAATGGCAAAGAAGGGAGTGGCTAGAGGACTTCCCAAAAAGCTGGCAACAGTAGACCAATCAAGGCCAAATGAACCAATGCCTAGTCCATTCAAACCTGAACCAAGCTTCTGTGCAGTGATTGAGTCTTTCCATATCCAACACACAAAGGAGAGAGAGCTTAGTGTTGGGAAAAGATAGCCTGGAATGATATAATACGCGTAGCTTGATATCGAAACAAGGAGGAAAAATTGTAGCCTGGTTACTCCTCCTCTAGGCCTCGTTTCCTTTTCGTGCAACGCCCTGCAGATCGCGTAAGCTTTGCAATATCAGAAAGTAGCTGAAAACTTCAAGTCTTTGCATATGGTTTTGTTGGTTAATACCTTAACAGAGAAACTTGTGCCAGGTTTGTTGGCCACCACATGTATGGAGAGTCAACAAGGTATTTTCTGAATAAGCCAGCCCATCCATATCCAAGCAACTGAATTACACATTAAAAAACAAAAGAATCAATCTCAAATTTGAAATCAAACAGGCTTGGAATCTCCAAAAAAAAAAAAAAAATGCACAAAAATCTACCTGAGTTGTTTGAATTAACAACATTGCTGCCACTGGGTGCAGCTGTCTACGATAGAAAGCCTTGACGCTTGTAATGATGCTCACTGCATAAACGCCGCTGGAGCCACAGCCGGCGAAAATGGTGATCAACGCGTGTTCTTTCAGGTTAAAAGGCCCCGGATTCAGCGAAAACGACAATGGTGTGAAGGGAATTCGGAATTGTTTTTCCGGAAGAGTTGCAGCCATAAATTTTCCTATTGGTAGGACAAGAATTTGGGCTGAAACTGAACCTACAGAGAGCTGATTCTGGCGGTAACCAAAAAATTGGTTTACAAATGCTAAAAGGAAACATGAAGTTAGTCCCAGAACCCATGTTCTGAAGGTTAAAGCTGGTTGTGTGGGATCATCAGTTATGGGAACTGTGAGCCTAACTTCCTCAATTGGGTTGTCATTGATATATTCATCTCCTACATCAGAAAATAGATTAGCGAATCAGAATCAAAGTGTAATGTTCAACAAATGAAACAAACCAAAGTGTAAAACTGATCTAAGTATAAAGTTCCATGTGCGAGGAAAGTGAAATAAGAAAATAAATTTCAAGGAATAAAATTTTAATATCTTGCATGATGGGGTTAACCTAAGCCATGGTTGCCCTTGATAGTTGTCAGAGGGACACAATGAACTTTACTCTCTATAGAATCTGTCAGGACAGACTTCCTGACTCCTAAGACCAAGTAACAAGAGACTGCATGACCGCGAATCCAAGACTCCGGAGACAGTTGGTAGACACAAAGAACCTAAACATAACGAGTCTTATTGACACGATATGTCCTGACCCTCCCTATCTCGTAGGCTTCGGATGTACCCATGAGACTCAGGTGACCGAGATGTGGGGAAATTATGAAACCTATTTATGAATTAAAATATTATAAAACTCTTCTATTTAAAACATTTATAAACACTCTTTTTTGTTTCTCACAAATACATATAACATCATTTGCAAATAAATAAATGCAACATAATTTTTTACAAAATGAAACCTACGGTATCAGATTTTTCTATATCTTTTATAATCTAAAACATGAAATAAATACATGATGAAAAAACATAAACTTTGCTGTAGAAAATAAAACACAACTCTTACTCTTCGAAAAATCTATCTATGGATAATAAACACATATGACATAAAGAGAAAAATGAGTTCTCGGACCAATGCATGGTGCCATGAATATATACGAAGAAACATTTTAGTAATAGTTTGTGGTACATATTATCCTTTATAAAATATATCTATACAGAACAAACACCATGTAAATAAAGAGAAAGAGAAGAATAATACCTCTAACAATGATGTCAGTATTATGAGTTTGAGAATACTTTCTACGAGGAACAGAAGTGTCTTCAACATTGTGACTACTTGCCATTTCCATTTCTCTTTCTCTCCAAAGGCAATGGCAATCCTTCAAGGATTGCTGGGCTAGCCAAAACACTCTCTAAATGTCTAGTATGTATATATTTTCACAGACTTCGCTGTGGCAATCTGGATACTTTATACTGGTTTCAAAAATAAAGAGAAGAATTTGTACCAAAACTTTGCTTTCTCTAGATCAACATGATCGATTATAGTTAGAGTTTTGATAACATTTTTTGATAATACTACAAGGACATTATTGAACAAAAAATCACATGCAAAAGTTAGTGGACTATTTGCTAAAGCTTATTCAAAGTCTTCTAATAAAAACAAGTGTGGAAATTGTAATAAAAACAAGTGTGGAAATTGTAATAAAACTTTCAAAAGAAAATAAGTGTGAAAATTGCAATAAAAAGAGGTCAAGTTGTGTTAATTGATTTTATGAAATTGGTGGCCAACAATTCTCCATTGTTTCTTTCACATACATCCTATCATTAAGTGTGGAAATTGTAATAAAACTTCCAAAAGAAAATAAATTTTTGTTATTTTGAGATGAATAGACCACTAAGAGGTCAAGCCGTGTTATTATTAAACTGTAATTGATAATTCGTTTATTTACACAAAATTTTATTTTTAATAGTTATTTTTAATGGTAAACTGTGATTGATAAATGATTTATTTACACAAAATTTAATTTTTAATAGTTACAATAGTTACTTTTAATGGTAAACTGCGATTCATAAATCATTTATTTACACAAAATGAATCAAATAAAATGGAGATATATTGATATGATGTGATCTAAGAACAAAATAATAAGCTAGCTACATTATTATAACTCTTGAATTTGTGAAAAATCATGTTATCACTTATGACAAACATAAAAAGAGAAATCACTACATATTTTTACGAATAAAAGTTTGGATTTGCTTTCATAAAAGTGGTACACTAATTTAGACTATAAATTGAAGAGATAAAAGCTTAAGCGTTTAGGTGGGATGTCAATTTAACATGGTATCAGAGCCAAAAGTCTCACGTTTGAATCCCCACATACAAACTGAATAAAGAAAAAAAAATTCAAGTTTGATGTGAGAGGGCCTATTGGTCTTAATATATGTTGAACCCTCACTTACAAGCTTAAGCTTTTATGTGGGATGATAACTTAACAGTGTCAAACCTCATGCAAGTTGAGAGCTTGGATTTTTTCTACAACTTCAGTAGTTAATGACCATGAAGATAGTAACTTCATTGACATAGGCATCTTTTATATTATTTTACCATGATTTACATAATTATGTTCTTGGAGTTTTTTTGTAGTCCTCTATATAAATCCTCATTGGATAACTTCCTCCTATTATCTTATTATAGACTATTTCTTTTGACAATTTTATGATCAAAATATGTAGTTGTTTTATATGTACCTTAAATTTTCTATTTTCTATTTTAATTAAAATCATTCAGTAAGCAATTTCCAATTAAATTTTGATAAATTTCTCTAGTACTATATATATGTTACTTAGAACACATATATGAATATGGTATTTGAAATGATAAATTTGCGAGAGATAGGATTAAATTAACTTGAATATTATTTACAAATAAAAGATCATCATTGGAGTTTATCAAACCATGTTTTCACTTTCATAAAATGAATATTGTGGATGAATTCAAATTAAGAGGAAAAGATTTATTTTGCAGAAGAAAATAATGAAGAAATGCAGAAGTTTGAAGAAGTCTTATAACTGGAAAAGGAGTGTCGTTAACTTTCAGTTACAAGAAGACGGAAATGCAGTCTCTTAATATTCCATTAGTCACTTAAGTAGAACGAGAGCGTTTCATTATATACAATTGAAATGAAATGTTTCACAATTTCAGATCAATAGGAAAGGTTTCCCTTATTTAAGACATTAGTGTTCATCATTCTGGGTTTAGAATCAACGGTTAGAAACTTATTAATTTGTGTTTGTTGATCTAAATTTGATAAAGATTGCCAGCCTGGCATTGTTTGTATTGTCTATACAGAAATACTGTAATCTGAAATTCAACAAGAAAAACAGTAGTTCTCAAAAGTTTTCTGAAGTTTTCTCAAATCATTTTAATTAAGTACCAAAAGAATCTACACTTAGTAGAAACTAACCCAAAGTGTCAATTTATACAGCACACACCCAAAAAAATTACAAGCAAAGATTTGTGGACGTTCACTAAAGCTTAGTCAAAGTCTTTTAACAAAAACAACTGTGTGATTGTAACTTGTCTAGCAAGTTGGACTTGGATACATCACTAGAGAAAGTTAAACTTGTTAATTAATTTTTTGGAATTGATGTGCCAGTCATCCATCCTTTCAACGGCATTTTTATCATTTAGTGTGGTTATTTTAAAAAGAACTAAAACAAAGACAAAACGTGCATTAAAAATGTAATAAATTAAAAAGTTCAGTTATATTTCATGAATTAAAAAGTTCAGTTATATTTCACAAAAGTGATATACTAATTTAAACTTTAAATTGAAGAAATAAAATAAAATTTTAATCAATACAGCTGAGATCCTTACATGCTTTTATAAATTATGTACGTAGTGTTGGAACTTAAATATTATTGTTAAGCCCTCAAGAGAATTTTTTCTTAAATATTAAAAGTAAGAGTAAACGATTTCTTTCCCACCCAAGGTTTACCTTAATGACACTTTCCCACCCAATAAGTTTCAAACTATTACTTTCTCACCTACAGTTAATATTCTGTTACTACCTAAAGCTGATTCTGGCCGATTCCGATGGCAAAAATTATATCTGTTACCACAATTTAAATCTCGGATCTCCTCTTTACAAAACTTTTCTCACTCTGACACCTGCTTTCTCGTCGGTTACTAGCCACTGTAAAGTTAGAATTTCCTGTTCATAACTGATTTCATGCGGCGAATATCCGATCGGTCACCATCATTCGATCCACCGGTCTCAACTCTACAAAAATCCTCTTACCTTAGCTCCTAGTAACTCATCGAACGTCGGTTGAGAAAGTGAAGTATATTTTGGGTATTAACGAAATATAAACTTTGGGTGAGAAAGTGATATTTTAAAACTTTTTGGGTAGGAAAAATGTCATTAATTAAAGCAAACCTTAGGTGGGAAAAAGTCGTTTACTCTTAAAAGTAATTGGTGTTAGATATCTCAATTATTTAATTTCAAAGGATTTGATTTGTAAAGGGAAAGTGGACTTAGTTACTTCTAAGTACTAAAAGAAGTTCTCTCATGGCCTTGAATGTGTAGTAGTTGAGATAAGGATGCACAAAAAGTCCAATTGCACGTCTTGATTTAACTCCTAATAATGATTCTCTTAATTCCACTTTAAACGGAAACAATCTAGGTAGGCGTTGAATGTTGAATACGAGGTTAGAACCATTTGTCACTTTCTTGAACAGTTGGCTGCCTGTCACTTGCTTTTCGATTCCATGACACCACCTGATCCAAAGGCCCTGGAACATTTCCCAGCCCATTTTGGACCACATTTTGGTAGGTGTCACAGGTCCATAATATGTTGATGTGACTCATTTTTATTATTTATTTTTTAATGGAGTAAACAATTTTTTTCTCACCTAAATAATAGTTTAATAACACTTTTCCATTTACAAACATTTAAAATACCACTTTATTACCTACATTTATATTATATTTTTGATTGTAACCTCGTTGCAATCTCACATCACCATTATTCTCTTATTTGATCACCATTCACCAAAACCCCTCAAACCATACTCTTATCGATCCATTCAATTGTTGGCAATAGAGCTATTAGAGTTTGCGCAACCGTCTCTCCCAAATCAAATTATGATAAATCCCAACTACTAAAATTCAACCTTCTGCCATCGAAAGATTCATCAATCTCCCCGCTTCAAAAGCTCTAATAGTTTATACCGAGTTTGCTCTTCGTTTGCCATCGAAATATAAAATTTGGGTATTAAAGTGGTAGTTTAAAAGTCTGTCGATAGGAAAGTATTATTAATTTATTATTTGGGTAGAAAAAAATTGTTAACTCTTTTTAATAATCTTATCATGTGCCTTTAAAACATATACGGTGTAACTCTATTTTACATGCAATAGATGTTATTATTGAATAAAAGTTTTTGATATTTGATCAAGCCAATACTCATACAAACAAATCCATTTGTTCAAATCACTCGGATTTTAGTTACCGTCCAAGACAACCTAAACTTATTAACAAATTACGTGCGAGTAATATGCACAATCTGTATCATCCTTGGAGAGTGAGAAGGAATTTCTCAAGCTTTCTCAGGCATTTAAGAAATGTCAAAGCACAGGGCATCCATGGACTTCAATTCCTGGAGCGATGGGGCACTTAGCCAGAGGGCAATGGTCAGTGCTATCCAAACCCCACCATTCTGGGCCAAAAATGTCATGTGATTGAAGGGTGAAATAGAGCAACACACCCATGAAGGCAAGCCCAGCATCCAAAGCAGCTGATAAAATGTAATTATATCTAGCCCACCACATTTTATATCTTCTGAAAATGTAGAAGTTGAAGAAGATTCCAACAGCTCCCCAGCTAAGGTAATGCACAGCTTTAGCGTATGGCATGTAGAGTGGCCCTGCCAGGATGATCGGCGTGTGGATGTTCTTGATCCATTTCTTTTCTGGGTATTTTCGTGAGAGGAGCCATCCGGGAACTGGGGCGAGGAGGCCTATTAGGAAGAACCAGTTGAGTCCCGGGTAGACGCCTCGGTTCGTGAACATTCTGAGAGGTCCTACAATGCCCCAGATGATTGAAGCATTGTAGAAACCATCATCCCCGGGACATGTCCAGGGACTCCCCTCTGGCAGCAAATTTGTGTCACAAATGTTGGGAATGGTTGTGAGAAGCCACCAGGATGTGCCAAAGTAGACGGTTGAAGCAACAATAGTTCCTACTAACTGAAAATACATATTGACAAAGGTGAAAGGACAGAAATTATAGCATTAAAAAAAAATCTGAAAACTTAGTGAATTACATTTACCTGTACAAT